AGGTTTCATCTCATTTCAGAACTCTAACTTCATTTCCACACATGAGTTCACCTGTCAGTTTTTGACCAATCTGAGACAAGATCATTGAAGCATGACAAAATACTTTTCCGAAACAAAATAAACAACGCATTGTAGTGTAGGAGAGGGAATTTCTGCCCTTTATACATAAACTACAGCATTGAAAATGTTATAAAACAATTGGTTCATACGTCAGCTGTGCATTCATCAAGACATGAAGTTGATGAAATCAAGCTAACTTGTGCTCTTGATAAGTTGCTTTGAAGCAGAATGATCAGCCATTTAACATATACTTGAGTACAATATATGTATAAGCTATTTTTTTTCTATTTTTTTTGCCATATGTTAAGTAAAAAAAAAAGTGTTCTTTTATGCAGAATTTTTCCTCCTTTCTGTACAAGATTAAGTTCACTGTTAAGTCTCTTGTCTCATAGGAAGACAAAAAGTCAGTGAAAAGTAATGTCAGGGAATGTTTTATTTTATTTCATGTCAAGTTTAAACTATAAGGGTTGATTTTTTCAAGGGGTGGGGGAGGGGGTTGAGGGGTATAGGGAAAGGAAACCCACTTTAAACCAAAGAGCAAATTTAAGGAATTCATCTTGAGTTTTACAGAACAGGGAATTTAAATTAACTATAATGATATCAAAAAGATTACCGTTTGGCCAGAGTAATAAATTCCTTGGTGAAACCATTCCACTGAAGGTACTGGATCACCTGTTACTGAACAGGTCAACTCAACTCTGCTGCCTTCATTGGCAATGATATCTTGCATTGGATCAATTTCTGGTGCAACTGAAAAGGTAAATAGTGAACTTGTTATTACAGGTAATAAATCTGAGTTGCCTGGCTTATCCTTTCAGTAATAAGGCTTTTTATTACACTACTTGGGCAGTCAGAGGGCCAATAACTAAAATCAACCAATCAAAATGCTCTATTGCCCGTCAATATTCTCTCAGTATTGGACAGGGCACTGTCCCAAATGGTCCTGAATAATACGGCACTTGTGTCCCTTTGAACTTCAGTCATATAATAAATCTCTTATTAACCAAGCTTGCTCAGGACCGTACTGGACGAATATCAGCCGTCTGTCTTTTTTGTACCGACTGAGCACAGCTCAGTCCGTACTGTCAAGACCTCGGGCCAATATTCTCCCAGTATGCCACTCGTGCTTGGTTAATAAGATATATATATGAGTTCTTGGCAACAATAATCAGTATTTTTATTTTTAAGATTTGGATGGCCTCTTTTGTGTCAACATTTGCCTATTCCATTGTCAGCAGCCAGTATTTTGGAAAGCTTTTCAACCCCTGAAGTTGTCACCCTTTTTGTATTATACTTACAAGTACATGTTGTCTAGTCTAGTCCTTGGTTAGATAGGGCACTGTGACAGTAATGTCTTATGATAGGCCAACTGGAGCTCAAACCTAGACCTCAACTAGGCCAAAGCATATGCCTTGGTATTCAACCTTCAATTGCTACTTAAGATTGAGTGTGTGTAGGGTGTACCCGCTTGTCTTTTTATAGGAAAAACTTTAAAGCTAACTAACTTACCAAAAACCTGCGTGATATGAAACAGTTGAACATCTTCACCAGCTTCATTTACTGCTATGCATCTGTACTTTCCCTTATCCTCTCCCTGAATATTTGTAATTAACCATGTCTTAGGAGTTGGATGTGTGTATCTTGGGTAGTGTATCACCTCCACTTCCTTTTCCTTGCCTGACCATTCAAACCACCACTCTACTCTTGGCTCGGGGTAGCCAGACTCTACATCACATGTGAACGTCACGTTATAACCTTGTGTTAATACTCGTGTTACAGGATTCCCACTTGCCTTGTTGATTTTTGGCTTTTCTGAAAAGTAAATTATCACATTGCAGTGGAACTGTGACTACCATACCACAGAACAAAACTATCTTGGCACAGTTTTTCAAAGGGCAGATAAGGGTTTTTTCAATGGATGACTCACTATTTCAGCAGATAAGTGTTAACAAGACTTACTGTATTGTCCAACAGATAGAGATTTATCCAGTGGGTAGCACCACCCTTTGAACAACCAAAGCCTGGATTTTATTGCGGGGAATGGATTGGAAATGCACAGATGCCATTAGAAAATGGCTGATAGACCTTAGAGACTAGAGCAGGTACTCAAGTCAAGTTTCTAAGAGTTGAAGATATGGTGTCAAAGCTAAGTATGGAGAGAAGAGCCACCCTCTATAAATATGCCAAAAATAGATCTTCAGCTGTTGACACACATTTGAGAAATGACCAAATTAGTTCTAAATTCTAAATAGTTTCTGGGAAAGCTTGAGCAGTTGATCTTAAAATCTAGATCTATAAGTTAAGTCCAAACAAAGCACTCGGTAAGACTCCATTTGCATCAGCCTAATTGTTTGAAACAATCAACTAAGGAGCTAAAATATCTCTAGAAATTACAAGTACCAGGTACCTTTTTATTCATACATGTATGAGCCTATTTTATTAACAGTTATTTTTCATTTATTTATGCAAAATATTGTGACCATTTCTTTGCGCTTATTATCTGAACGAGTTTTAATTTAATTTTTTTCCTGACAATATCAAAACAATAATAATATGGTGCATGTTTCCATTCTTTGACCCTTTTTATGATTCTAAACAACACTACTAGTAGTGATTCTAAAAAATTGTCATTAACTTCAGATGAACTTACCAAAAACTGTCACTTCAATGTCAGTTGAGTCAAGCTGTGACACTGTGCAAGTATAGTTTCCTTCATCACTTTTCTGGACTTGTGTGATGGTTATTGATCCCGTGTACGCATCAAGGGATCTTCTTCCACTTGGGTCAGGGAAGGTCAGCTCCTTTCCATCCTTAACCCATTCATAAGTAGGTGGAGGGAATGCAGGTACATTTAGTTCTATGACTCCTTTTTCACCAATGTTAAGGGTCTGTTTTGCTTGGACCCCTCCTATCTCAACTGTTGAAAGAAAAGATTACATGTCAACTTTTTGTTTTAGTTTTCTTACCTAAAGCAGTTTGATTTACAATAGCTTTTGTCCAGTACCCAGTTGAGGGGTATGGTGGCCAAGTGAGCAGGTTTTTGGTGTACTGGTTGGAATTCAAGCACCTGACCACTTGGTTACTATTTCTGTTCTTGAGAAACATACAGAGTGCTTCTGTTCACCTAGAAATTATAAATTGTTAACCCTTTGGCTCCCAGAAGTGATCAACATGTAACTTCTCTCTATAATATCCATACATGCTCCAGCAAACAGGTAATGAGAATCCACAAACTTATCAGATAGAAGTTGTTACCTTGATTGAACACCAAATTCTCATAACCAATTTACAAGGAAATGTGTATCAGCTAGAGGAGAGAATTCA